CGTGGCGTGGGGGCCTGTAAATAGCCTCAGTTTGGGGTGGAACCTAAGGCGGGCATTAGGGATGCACAAGTAGCCCATTGGTCCTAGGTTTGGCACCATATGTAAATTTCCAGGGGCAGGAAGATGGTGTCACAGGTAAATTCCTAGGGGCAGGGGAGATAGGGGCTTCCTGCTTCCGGTTGAGGCTTTCCTGGCTACAGTGTCCTGTCTGGGTCAAAACCCTTTCGTGTATCATAATATAGAAACACTCTAGGATCAAAAAAGGGAGGGGGTTCTTACAGGGTAAGCATAGTTAAAGGTGTCCTTGAGTAGCCCATGGCGCCTTAAGGTACAGACAATTACTCTGACACCGTGTTTATCAAAGGCTTGCAGCTGGGCTTTAGACACCATCAAGGTCAATTGAATTCCATAGAAAGTTGGTCAGAGACCTCTAATTACTCTCTAATTTGTGTCATGGAAAAACCTGTTAAGTTTGCTGTTTATAAATGTGTTCTTACATTATAATTGTGCCCCAATATTATCATAACCCATATGTCAGAAGCGTTACCTACAGTGAACTAATGGAATTCTAATATATAGTTCAACTGTGTGACTTCAAGAATTATTTTTTTTCAGCACTGGGGGTTGAATCATTTGTTGGTTTGTTTGTTTGTTTTGTTTTTGGTGCTGGGGGTCGAACTCACAACCTCATGATTGCCAAGCAAGCACTTATACTGCTGAGCTAAACACCGGCCTGGGGATTGAATCTTAATGCATCCTAGAGAAGTGCTCTATTTCCACTTTTTGTTTGAAACAAGGTGTCACTAAGTTGCCTGAGTTGGTCTTGAATTTGCTATCTTGTCTCAGTCTTCTGCAATCATCTTTGAATTAGTGGTTTTAATTTTTATTATTTATTTGGTTTGGTCTGAGACAAGATCTCATTATGTAGACCAGGCTGGCCTCCAATTTGAGATTTTCCTGCCTCAGTCTATTGAATGCTGAGATTACAGTCATGTGTTGCCTTGCTTAGCTGAATTAGTGATTTTCAAATTCAACTAAAGGAGAAACAGTAAGTGCAGGTAAAGTAACTTTGCTTTAAAGGAAACGCAATCACCAAATCTGAGTGAACATAAGCCTGAAATATGCATGCAAGCTGCATGTTCAACTGGAAGAAGTTCTATAAACTTCTATACTTACAGAACAAAAGAAAACTGTGTTAATACATTTACCAATTACAGTAAGGTGGGGGGCCTCAGGCAGGTAGGCTGCAGCAACGTAGGGAAAATCTTTCTAGGATTCAGACGCTATTTTATAGCATTTTTTTTTTTTGGTACCAGGGATTAAATTTATGACCTCGCGCTTGCAAGGCAGGTACTTACGCCGTTGAGCTAAATCCCCAGCCCCTTGATTTATGTTTAGTGGAGGCAAGAAGTGTGTCAAACTTAGCTGTACAACCCAAGAATTTTATCCAGATGCCACAAGGATGTTTTATCAGATGCAAATTTGATAGTAAGTAGTTACTAATGTCACTAACTAGTGATGTAAAATGAAAATTATATATGGACTAGTTTCAAGAAAACAAAATGGAAGTTTAGGCTGTGTGTCGTGGCACACACCTGTCATCAAGAGATGGAGCCAGGGGCTGGGGATTTAGCTCAGCGGCATAAGCACCTGCCTTGCAAACAGGCGGTTGTGAGTTCGATCCCTGGTACCGATAAAAATGAAAAAGACAAAATAAAAAAGAGATGGAGCCAGGAGGACTGCTGTGAGTTCGAGGCCAGTATAGACTGCAAAGTGAGTTCAAGACCAGTGTGAATTACTTTGTGAGCCTTTGTCTCAAAAACACTAAATAAATAAATATATAAACAAAAGCAAAACAAAAACCTAAAAGTTTATCCTAGAAAAGAAACAGTCCTGCAGGCTGCATGAGGTGAGAGTGGGGGCTGTGGGCGTGGAGGTGAGTGGTGGTGGTGGTAGAAAACAGGCAATTCATTTGTTTGTGTTCTCAAAGGAATGTCATTCATTGTTCAGGTTTAGCAAAGGGTGGGGTCTCTCAATTGGGTGAAGCTTTGCTACTTCTCTTTAATACTTTTTTTTTTTGGCTTTTTCTTTTTTATTGGTACCAGGGATCGAACTCATGACTGCCTGCTTGCAAGTCAGGTACTTATGCCGCTGAGCTAAATCCCCAGCCCCTTCTCTTTCATACTTTGCAGGCATGAGTTTGAAAGCTTGGGGTCTTTGCGTATGGTGGCACACACTTGTAATCCCAGCACTGGAGAGCCTGAGGTTGGAAGATCTCCATGAATTCAAGGCCAGTCTGTAATATATATCGAGACTTTGTTTTAAAAAACAAACACAAGGGCTGGGTGTTTAGCTCAAAGACATAAGCACCAGCCTGGAAGAGTAAGGTCATGAGCTCGATCCCCAGTACCACCACCACCCCAACCCGTGCCAAAAAAAGAAAGAAAGGTTAGGGTCACTTGTCCTTTGCATCTGTATGCAGTTTGCCTGCACATCCCAAAGAATTCTTTCTTATCCCAAAGAATACAGCCCTGGCTCATTTAATTAACAGCCTGATTTATTTTCTTCTCTTATTGCCTAACATTGCTGCTGCCTACTTCTTTTGTCCCAGGCTGCTACTTCAAAATCCTGGCAATACTCCATCTTATGTAAAGGACCTGAGGATAGACCAAGTTAACTGGCTCTTTATTTGCAACATTCCCTCTCACCAAACCCCAGTGTTCTGGTCAGCCAAGGTCCAACAGTGTGCAGGCCCTTGAATACAGATATGGCTTTTTCAGAGAACTTTGATTTACCTAATGAAGGGAGAACAGTCTGAGTCAGAAAAGTTAAAGGTACAAAAGTGTATGTGAGAGCAAGCATCTGCGCCTCTTGGCTGATAATTATGAAGTCTTGGAGACAGATGTCTTATTCTTTTGATGGTTACATTCCTGAGAATAGTTCCCAAATCCTTGAAAGGTATTTCTGAGTTGTAAAAGAAACTTAATTATAATTGTAGACCTTTCTTTTGGTAAATGCCCAGCAAATGATTGTAGCCCAGCAATAAGGGCTGGGTTACTGGTAAGACCTGGTAAAAGACCTAAAAGAAAGAAGTAGCTAAAAAGTAAGTCTTCCCACTCATTAGTGCACTCCTCGCATAACACTCCAAAACCCTGCCTGTCTTCATCTGTCTTGTCTAAACTCTACAAGGGGACAAGGATGGGATTCTGCTGGACAGTGGGGTGCAGGAGGTCATGTGGGACTTGCCCAAGTAGTGTTAAAAGAAAAACTTCTTCCTTCTCTGTGTTTTGTTTTTGTTGCAGGCTATGTAACCCAGGCTGGCCTTGAACTTGTGGTAACCCCCTTGCCTCAGCTTCTCGAGTGCTGGAATTATAAGTACATGCCACCATGCCTGGAAACAGGAAAAATTCTATGGGCCAATTATATTAGGTAGTTTACCTATGCAAAGAAAACAAAACAAAAAGTTACAAATTGTACAGTTCCCAGAATTAGAACAAGTTCTGAGAATCCCAGCTAACAGTGTGATCAGAGAGCATTTATGGAAAAATAAATCAGGTATAGAAAACAACTTACTTGACTACAGGTTAGTCAATTACCCAATCAAATAGCTACAAGGCCCCTTGCAAAAAACCAAAGGTTAATTATTGTGATTAAATTATCTTATTTGGCTGGGTGTGGTGGCTTATGCCTGTGGTCCCAGCACTCAGGAGGCTGAGGCAAGGGGATCACCACAAGTTTGAGACCAGCCTGAACTATATTAGGAGGCCCTGCCTCAACCTCACCAAAATATCACTTATCCGTTTGGTCTGCTGGATCCACTTCAGGTGTCAAATTCAAATTCATGGCCTTCCAATAAGTTTTGTTTATTTATTTTTTGGTACTGGGAATTGAACTCACAACCGAATTCACAACCATGCACTCACCAGGCAGGCGCTTATGCTGCTGAGCTAAATCCCCAGCCCAACAAGTTTTACTTTTGACAGCAACCGGTGGGAAACTGTATCAGACTATGTCTGCCTCCCTGGGGTCTTTTAAAGGATGGACAGAAGATACAGACAGTGGAAAAAAAGAAGTGAGAACAAAAATGAGAGCTCTAAAAAGGCAGACAACTAGAAGGTGGAAAGAAAATAGAAACTGAGGAATGGAGATAAGACTAGCAATAGCACATGGGAAGGGTAAGAATTGGCCTCCAAGGAAAATGAGCAGAGTTGGCATGGCTTTGTGGGGATTTCTCCAACCAATAGCAAGATGGAGCCCAAGTGACTTGCCCAAAGATGTCCGCAGCATTTGCAAGGTGGTAACTACAACCTGAGCCTAAGTCTCCTGAACCTAGTCCAGGGGTCTTTCTCTGGCCTGTGTCATGGGGATGAGGGACCAGTTGATTAGGACATGGGCACAAGTGTTGACTAACAAGAGGAGGCTTGCCGCCAGGGGAGGCTCCGAACTTCCCTAACCTGAGTGGTTGGAAAGCTACACTTAAGTCTGGAGGTCCATTAACCATCAGAGGCCAAGGAAACCAAGAGCCAAGCACTCCCAGCAAGTGATGCTTAAGTTGCAATTTCAACTTGGCAAAACTTGTTCGAAGGAGGTGTCAACATTCGGTGACTTTCAGAACCTGCCATGAAATGGACAGGCGCTTTTGGAAAAGTCAAAGCAGTAATCAAGAAGGGTCCCACCATTTTTCACACAGGCCACGATTTCCTGAGAAAACTTTAGGAATAATTGAGATGTTTGGAAAATGGTTAAGGAGCTGCCGAAATCAGCTGAATGCCGCACCGGACTTCTCAAGCTTCTAGAGGCACATTTGGGTTCTCTTGGCTCTCTGAGATTTACGCAATAATGTTCAATGTTTAGATTTGTTGATCGCCTACAGCAGAAGGGCTCCTTGTTCCTCGGCTAGCTCCAAAATTGCTCGAGATACACCTGAGACAGGCGCCCTCTGGCGGCAGAGGCGGAAGCGCACGGGGCCCCGCGCGCAGACGTAGTTACCCGCCGGCGGCCGTTCAGACCGGATGTGGTTGCGCCTGAGGTCACTTCCGGCGGGTGACGGTGCGGACGGGTCAGGAGCGTAGAGGCGGCGGCAAAATGGCGGCGCCTGAGGAGCGGGATCTAACCCAGGAGCAGACAGAGAAGCTACTGCAGTTTCAGGTAGCGGCGAGTACTCGGTACCACGTATGCCGCCGCGGGATGGGGAGTGAAACTCTACAAGAGCGTGTAACTGTCCTCACCTTGGGTCCGGGCTCTTTTTCAGACCAGAAGGTTGCCCCCTCCCCCCAGACGCCAACTGCCCAGATTCCCCTATCCCCCGAACCTCTGTTGGTTCCCAGCATTCCAACCATCGCTGCCAGCTCAGCTCGCTTCTTCTGTCTCTCTCTACACTCAGCGGGTCAGTTTCCGCAGTTTTCTTAGCGCGGCAGTCCTCAGCCATCCTTTCCCAGCCCGATGACTCTAGACCTGCCCGAGATGGTTAGTCCCCACCGCAGAGGGGTGTCAGTTGTGGCCTCTGGAACACTTCCTACCACCGTCCCATACTATTTCTACAAACCTGAATGAGGGCCTCTTGGGTACCAGGTCTTGTGCTGGGGGCTGTGGTGGGGAAGGAAACTACTCACAGGCATGGCCTCTGCCCTAGAGGTGTGGGAGGACACCACGTTAGAAAACAACGCAACAGAAGTACCGCCGTTGGCTTCTGTCGGGGTTTCGTGTCTTCTGCTTATTCCTGGACTCCTGTGCTTGACTATGCTTAAGGAGGGTGGCAACTTGCAGGAATCTGCCTCCTTTTAGTGGATGTCATGTTACGAACACTTGACACTAAACACTTAACCTCTAAACTGGAGAATGTGGTTGGAGGAGATCACTACAGCCGGCGGATGACTGGCTTTGTTACCAGTGTATCTCTTAAGTGTATATCTTGAAAATGTCTGCTTCCCTGAGGATGTTGTGGAGGTCAGATGAGTTTATGGTTGTTAGAAGCGTAAACAGTAAAAAGTTCCCAAACGAAATTACTGCCATTAGTCATTATTCAACTTACAACTGAAGATGATACACTTGTTTACTAATATATGATGTGGCAAATATTTATTCAGCAGTGGTAACGAAGATATTCAATACGGAGGCACTGCCAGATAAAATAACATGTACTGAATATTTACCATGTTGTAAGTACTTTGCTAAACATTTAGCGTGTGTTATCTCGTTAAATATTCGCAACAACACTATAAGATTCACACTAGTGCAGTCCATATTTTACAGAGGAAGGATATCAAACTTAAGAGGTAACAAAGCTTACACATCTAATATAGACAGGTGTCAAATTTAAAGCCAGGATCATCTTTTCAAGACTTTTCCCAGGTTAATGTCTGCTGTACAACTCAAGACAGTGAAATAGAGTACAAATGCTGTGATACTAAATTTTTTGTATTCTCATTTTTTCTGTAATTTCTTTGATTAGATTTTATTATAATTTTTAGGATCTTTTTCCCCTCTGGGGCTGGGGATTTAGCTCAGTGGTATAAGTGCCTGCCTGGCAAGAGTGAGGTTGTGAGTTCCGTCTCCGTACAAAAAAAAAAAAAGGAAGAAAGAAAGAAGAAAATAGATTTTTCTCTCTAAATTGAGCAGTGTTGAAAGCTTATGAATGGTAAAACGCTCTCATAGACATAGTTGACATTTGATGGAAATTTGGGGGGGGGGGGTACTAGGGATTGAACCCATGACCTTATGTTTGCCAAGCAGGCGCTTAGGCTGCTGAGCTAAACTTCTGGCCCTGATGGAACTTTTGTAGAGAAATTGACAGGATTAGAGTTGAATAAGTAAACAGAAGACCACCATCTTCCATTTCCTTGTAGAACACCAATTTCAGAATTTTACTTAACCTCTGTAAACCATTTTACACTTTACACCTCTTCAGGGGAAAACCTCATTAAGTGTAACAAGGAGATAGGAGTTATAAATCAGGGTGTAATCTTTTACTGGAAGAACATAAATATAAAGTTAAAGAGCGTAAAACTTCTGTTTTTGTATTCAATGAATACATTATGAGAAATTAGGCCGCAGGTTAATCTGTGCTGATTGCTTTATGAAACTGAATTTATTGAGGGAATGTATTTTACATTTGTGTATTACAGGCAAACACTGAATCCGATTTGTTGTATGTACTGCCTTTGAGCAGTCTTTCAAACTTATTAGCATTATGGGAGTTAGCTGATGCATGTTAACTCTTAAATTTCTTTAGACTATAGTAAACCTCCATTTATTTTATGAAGAAATCGGTTCTGAGACGTCAGGTACTGAGATGTCAGGTAACTTGAAACAGTAAGCAGCAGATTTATACTTTTTTTTTTTTTTTTTTCTGAGCTGGAATGACAGAAACTTAGAAATCCATATCCATAACAATTTGTATGTAACCTAATGGAGAAGCCAGTACATATTATGAATAATGAGAGTGCCCAGAAAGATAGGAGTGCTATTGTGTAATATGTAATATGGTACATAAACAGTGATAGGCAAAGTAGTGTGTGTGTCAATTCCAGCACTTTAGGAGACAAGGCAGGAGAACTGCAGGTCTGAGCCCAGCCTGGGCAACTTAGCCACTTAACAGGGCTCCCTCCTATCTCGAAATTTAAAACTGGAATTGAATGGGGATGACTGAGTATAAAGGCCCTGGGTTCAGTCCCCAGTACTGTAAAAAAAAAAAAAAAACAATAAAAAATGCTACAAGTCGTGCGTGATGGTACTTACCTGTAATCACAGCTTCTTTAGAGACTGAGTTAGGAGGATTGCAACTTCGAGGCCAGCCTGTGCAATTTAGCCTCTGTCTCAAAATTAAAAGAGCTGGGGGTGTAGTTCACTGGTAGAACACTTGGCTAGCAAGCCCATAGGAAGAGCTGTGGCTACTTAGGGAAGAGTCACAGTATTGATGGGGAGGGAGAATGGTTTATTGGTACCACTTACTATTTACTGCCTTGAGCATTATGTTAGATAAATTATAACCATTGTGTTTAATCTGCACAATAATGTTTGCTCTCTTAAGATCTATTGACATACTTATTCAAGGTCCTTAAACTATTAAATAGTGGAATTTTAAAGGCTAGGTCCTTACCATTGTACCTTGTTTGAAGGAACAGAATTTCAACAGGCAGTGAGCAAAGGGCTATTCAGAGCTCACAGACAGGTTGTACACATTGGTGTGGGAAAGTGTGGAATCTCTGTTTTGGTGGATTTAGAGAATTGCAAATGAAAAATAAGACTGGAAAAGCAAACTAGAGCCAACTTGCATTCAAAGCTTTTTGTGGTATAACCTGTAAGCCTAGGGAACCATCAAAAATTTTTTCAAATAGGAAATGACAACACTAGGTTTCAGGTTTGCTTCATTAACAGTATGGATCTGTGGGGCAAATTAAACCTCTCTAGCAAACCAAAAACAAAACAAAACCAGTATGAATCATAGGCTTAGACTCTTCAGGGTTCAGGATAGAACAGAATGATACCACAAGAAGCTGGTTTTCTGTTTTCTCATTTGAAATATTGAGTCTAGTGAAAGTAAAATAGTTTGGAAATCTCAGGTTTCCCATTGTGTGTGTGTGTGTGTGTGTATGTGTGTGTGTGAGTGTGTGTGTGACATATTTGATTGGAATTCTGTGAGGCATATTGTGTTTCTTTGTTGGAGTGATGTTTCTAAGGTTTTTCTCTAGTTCTCCATTTCTCCAGTTATTTTGGAACCAGTTGGTATGAATAACTAATGCAGATGTTTTGTTTTGAGCTATTTCAAATGGGAAAGAATACGTCAGTTTTACAAAGAGCTAGTGCATATATGTGGAAGTTTACTTTTTTCTGGAACACATTTGTTTAATTTTCCAGATATAGCAGATTCCCTTAGTTGCATCTAGGTTGCTGTTTGAACAACTGAACAAGGACTACATGGGCAGAAAGAAGGAGCTTGAGGAGTTATGTATAAGAAAATTTCCCTTTTAAATGGACAGTAGAATATGACCCATATTCTCTTGAATTATAGGAAGTAAAACCTGAAATCCAAGCTGTTGAATCAGGTTTATAAGTCATTTTGAAAATCACCTTTTTCACTTCCTCTGGCTATTACCTACGGGAGAGGGATATGATGTTCATGGACTTTTTTTTTCCCCTCCTGGCCCACCTGCCTCAACACTGCTCATGAATTTTTAAACAATCATAGTGATTTCATTTTTTCTAGGAAATCTGACATTGTAGAGAAAATACGAGCTTTAAAACTCTAAGTAATCAGCTTTTTAACTCAGTTTCTTAGTGAGCTTTACAATCATGGGCAAATTCTTCTTTAAACGTCTTTCCTCTGCTTTAAAGTAAGAATATTGTTACCTAGCTGACTGAACTCTTTCTTTTTTACTTTTAGAAAAACTTACAGTGTTGAATGCAATGATACACACCTGTAATCCTAGCACTCAGGAGGTTGAAGTGGAAGGATTATGAGTTTGAGGCTACAGGTTTGTTAGAGAGGTTTAATTTGCCCTCAAACAACAAAACAGCCTACCAAGTCATTTATCCAAATATGTTTGTTGGAAGTTGACAGTGAATAAGAAAATGTCTTGTTTTATTCCCCTCATCCTAAATCTAGATTTGTTATGTATCTTTGTATATTTTTTTATCCACATATTCGGATCTACCTTGTGGTTCTAACCTGGGCTCCACACATGTTAGATAAAGTGCTTTACCAACTGAGTTAACATTCTCAGTTCTAGATATACAGGTTATTAATGTATAAAATAGAGACTTTAACCCTAACCTTCATTTGACTGATTAGTTGAGACAAATTCTTGCATTTCCTAAAGTTTGCCCTAATATGCTTATGTATTTCTACTGTCGCTAGAAGAGCAATACCTCCATCTTATGCATGTACCTATGGGGGTGTTTGGGATTAAATTTAGGGCCTTCAGACTTGAGTTACATACCAGCCCCCCCCCAATTTAAAACAGGGTGTTGCAAAATCACCAAATTGGCCATGCCAGATTCAAATTTATAATCTTCTACCGCAGCCTCCTAGAGTGCTGGCATTATAGGTATGCACTAAGGCATAATGTAATGCCACTACAGGTCACACTAAGCTTGAATCGTATTCTAGGCAATAGTTATGTGTGCTCTTAAACTAGTATATGCTGTTG